CTTCTTCTGCAGACTAAATAAGCCCAGTTCCCTCAGCCTTTTCTCATAAGTAATGTACAACAGCACCCTAATGATTTTCATTGCCCTCCACTGGATTCTCTCCCATTTGTCTACATCCTTTCTGTAATGGGGAGCCTAAAACTGGGCACAATACTCCAGATGTGGCCTCACCCATGCCAAATAGAGGGGAATAATCCCTTCTCTCACTCTGCTGGCAATGCTTCTCCTAATGCAGCCCAATATGCCGTTAGCCTTCTTGGCAACAAGGGCACACTGTTGACTCACATCCAGCTTCTCGTCCACTGTAATCCCCAGGTCCTTTTCTGAAGAACTGCAGCTTAGTCAGTTGGTCCCCAGCCTGTAGCTGTGCGTGGGATTCTTCCCTTCTAAGTGCAGGACTCTGCACTTTTCCTAGTTGAACCTCATCAGATTTCTTTTGGCCCAATTCTCCAATTTGTCTAGGTCACTCTGAACCCGGTCCCTACCCTCCAGAGTATCTACCTCTCCCCGCCAGCTTAGTGTCATCTGCAAACTTGCTGAGGGTACAATCCATCCCATCATCCAGATCATTAATTAAGATGTTGAACAAAACCAGCCCCAGGACCAACCCCTGGGGCACTCTGCTTGATATCAGCTGCCAAGTAGACATTGAGCCCTTGTCACTACCTGTTGAGCCCAATGATCTAGCCGGCTTTCTATCCACCTTATAGTCCATTCATCCAATCCATACTTTAACTTGTCAGCAAGAATACTGTGGAAGACCGTATCAAAGCTTTGCTAAAGTCAAGGTATATCACGTCCACTGCTTTCCCCATATCCACAGAGCCAGTTATCTCGTCATAGGAGGCAATCAGGTTGGTCAGGCATGACTTGCCATTGGTGAATCCATGTTGACTGTTCCTGATCATTTTCCTCTCCTCCAAGTACTTCAAAATGGATTCTTTGAGGACCTGCTCCATGATTTTTCCAGGGACTGAGGTGAGTCTGTAGTTCCCAGATTCTCCTTCTTCCCTTTTTTAAAGATGGGTGCTATATTTGCCTTTTTCCAGTCATCCAGGACCTCCCCCGATCACCACAAGTTTTCAAAAATAATGGCCAGCGGCTCTGCAACAGGGTGGATTTGATTTAAATTTTGATTTTTAAATCATGATTTAAATCACTAGTCATGAAGATTCGATTTTAATCATGGATTTCTACATAAATGCATTCTTGTTGGTTGTTATAACCTTAATACATATTCTTCACAACTCAGATGTAGGTTTCATTTTTAGAAGGTACACACTATATGTTTTTAAAGTGATCTATTTTGAAAACTTTTCAGATTAGTTAGCTAAATCAGAAAATGAATTGTTTGGTTATTACATTTACCAAAGGTAATTGAAGTAGATATTTTTGAAGTCATTGGGAGGTGAACTATATCCAACTATCTCCAATTCAATAGGTTAATCATTAATATTTGGAAGATTTTCTTGCCATGCTGTATTAGGAGGAGAATATCACCAGACAGACGTTTACATTGTTTTATTTAACTAAAACAACAACGTTGTATATTCTGGATTTTTTTCTTCAACAGCAAACATAATATTTTAACAAAACAAGCATTTGACTTTAGTTAAACATTCAAGATTTTTAAAATCCGGTTTCTTTTTGTTAAAATTGTTTAACTAAAATAGTTTAAATTTTTTTTATAAAAATAAAAATTAAATCAACTGTCGGCTAGGTCAACATGAGAAACTTAAAATATTGGCTTCTACAGCTAACTCAGTCGTCTTCACCTTCAGTTTCCTGTTTTGTTCATAATCTGAAAAAGGAAAAACAAGCTTTCCTGCTTTTTACAGGTCCCAAATGATTTCTCAATTTGGAATGAATTATTCAAAAGGAAGAAAATATTCTTTCTACACCAGCAGAAGAAGCTACTGCTATTAAAAGTGAGATTATCACTTCAACAGTCTCTGAATCCAAGTGCTTACGTGACTTCCACTAGTTCACTGGTAAAAAGAAAAGGAGTACTTGTGGCACCTTAGAGACTAACCAATTTATTTGAGCATGAGCTTTCGTGAGCTACAGCTCACTTCATCAGATGTTTACCGTGGAAACTGCAGCAGACTTTATATACACACAGAGAATATGAAACAATACCTCCTCCCACCCCACTGTCCTGCTGGTGTGACTTTCTTTAAAACATCAGCAAACGTATATTTCTTGAGTGGTTCACACTTAGCTCTGAAGTTTATTATAGTTGGCATTATGGAGGGATGATTGATGGATATCCATGTCAGAGCCAACTCCTCTTCTTCAGCAGTTAAGGTTTGACCCTGGAACCGAGTATTGAGAATATTTGCAAGAAATGAGCTGGAGATAGTGTTTGTTCCATTTGTTTTTTTTAATGCTTGTAATTTAAACTCTGTCATTGCATATTTCTCTTTTTAAGCTCTCACTCAGTTCCTTCCCAGTTTCAACAGCATCAGCAATAAAACAGCTGTTTCCCTGCATTTTGTTCAAGGCTACAGAAATAGTCTTCAGGGTATTCGGCATGTGCTCAACATTTCTCTTAAGCCCAATGTTGAGAACTTTGGCTGTGACAGTACCATCTCTTTTTTTCACAATTTTGTTCAGACTATCATCAGATTAGGCCAGTTCTTGGTATAGTGCTCAAAACAGTCCAATCGTGAGTTCCATCACACATCTTGTGGGAGCATTAGCTTGGTTCCTCCCACTTTTTTCAGAGCAGCTGCTGCAAAGTGGTTGTTACGGAAGTATTTTGCAATTTCAATAACATTCGCCTTTACAGAAACTCCTCACTTAGTCATCCCGGTTAATGCTGTTTTGTTATTATGGTGCCGATCAGTTAGGGAACATGCTCGTTTAAAGTTGCACAGTGCTCCCTTATAACGTTGTTTGGCAGCCCCCTGCTTTGTCCACCGCTTGCAGAGAGAGCAGCCTGTTGGAGCTAGCTGATAGGTGGGCTGCCAATCCACCCTGGTTCCTAGCTAGCTATCAGCTCCCCGCTCCCCTAAGATCCCTGTGCAGCAGCCACTCAGCAGGATATCCATTGCCTGGCAGGTCAGCTGTCCCTCCCCCCACTGCCCTGTGCTGCTCCTGCCCTCTGCCTTGGAGCTGCTCCTGGGAGCTTCCCGCTTGCTGTGCAGGGCGGGAGGGGGAAGAGGGATGCTAATGTCAGGGTGTCCTCCTCTCCCTGCTCCTGTCCACCACTCCTGTCCCCCCATCTCCACAGAGCGGGGGCGGGGGGGACACAAAGGGCTCTGGACTGAAGGAGCTTGCTAGCAGCAGCTGCTGTCTCAACTTGCTGATCTACTTAAAAAGGCAGTGTACTTAGAGTGGGGTCAGCGTACTTAAAGGGGCAATGCGAGAGTCTCTCTCTCACACACACACACACACACACACACAGTCTTTTGTCTGGCGAAAAAAATTTCCCTGGAACCTAACCCCCCACACACACATTTACATTAATTCTTATGGGGAGATTGGATTTGCTTAACATCGTTTCGCTTAAAGTAGCATTTTCAGGAAGATAACTACAATGTGAAGTGAGGAGTTACTGTATTTCTGAAACACTGAAGTCTTTGGCTAGGAAGTACAGCAAATGAGCACTGCAATCGCATGTTGTTAGCTTGGGACTCTCTTCTAAATTTCTTCTCATCTTGGATACATTTGCAGCTTTGTCTGTGACCAAGCTGCGTACTAGACATTTGAAATTTTTTTCAGTTTGTTATAGTTTTTACTGCTACTTCTTATAAGTATTCTGCTGTGTGTGCATTTCCTGATGTATCAATTCTTTCTGTAAGAAAGACATTCCCTTCTTCTGCTGTCACACCAGCACACACAACAGGATCATTGTAGACATTGCTCCACCCATCAAGACTCAGGTTAACAATTTCACCCTCCAGGCCTTTTGCACACTGCTCAATTTCTCTTTCATACACTTTATCCAGCAATTTGCCTGCAACATCTGCTTTGTTGGGTGGACTGTATCCTGGTCTTAATGACTGAATCATGTTAATCAAGTGTGGGTTCTCAATCATACAGAAAGAGTTTGTTGCATAAACAAACTAGGCAATTTTTTCATCAATTACCTCTTTCTGTAATCTGCTGGTTCTTATCACAAATTTATCTATGGTTGTTTCTGGATGATGAAGATTTTTCTTTTTCTTTTTGCTACAGGTGATATACTGTGCTATGTGACATACATGATGTGACTGAAACACTATCATTGGCAGATAACTCTGAAACTGTAGAAAATGATGGTGATCTTGAAGGTGGATAGTCTTCAAAATCCTATATGGCAGGGATTGGCAACCTTTGGCACGCAGCCTGCCAGGGTAAGCCCCCTGGAGGGCCGGGCTGGTTTGTTTAGAGACGCCCAGTGGGAGCCGCAGGTTCGGCTGATCGCAGCTCCCTCTGGGCGTCCCTAAACCTCTGACTGCCAGAAGCTGTGACTGGATGACAGGGGAGGGATCACTCGATAAATTGCCCCGTTTCATTCGTTCCCTCTGAAGCATCTGGCACTGGCCACGGTCAGAAGACAGGATGCTGGGCTAGATGGACCATTGGTCTAATCCAGTATGTCGATTCTTATGTTCTTTTCTTGTGGTAGCCACTTCAGATATAGATTTTGCATTTGTCCTCTTGAGTGAATATTGCAATATCTGACCTTGTTTTAAACCACTGTGGGTATGTGCAATAAAAGGGAAGTGTCAAAACTGGTAGAGAAATTACCACTTGAGGTTTATAAAGATAGGGTCTTTTAAGGGCAAAGAAGATTACTACAGGAATGATGGAAAACCTCTTTAATTTCAGAAGGGTCACCTAGTTTCTGCTCTATTCCTTTTTTAAAAACACAAAATTATTATAGGGATAGATCTACATTTTTGGAAGGCAGCAGATGTGCTTTCTTAGTGGTTCACTTTGATGCATGTAACTAATGTGAGATGCGGCCTGCAGTTAGGGTGCTAACTGCCTATATTCCTCCAAAATTATAGAAAAATATGTCGAAACTGCAAATGTGGCCAGGAAGAACATGATGTCCTCACAAGCAACGAGGAAGATCGTAAAGTGGGGAAGCTCTTTGAAGACACAAAATACACAACCCTTATTGCAAAGCTGAAAACTGATGGAATTCCCATGTATAAACGCAACGTAATGATACTGACTAATCCAGTGTCTGCCAAGAAGAATATATCCATCAATACTGTGACATATGAATGGGCTCCTCCTGTTCAGAATCAGACACTGGTAAGAAATGCAGAACTTACTTTCTGCTTAGTGATAACATTTAACTGGGGTGTGGGGCTTTTGGGTTTTTTTTTTTTTTCTATTTTGGTGGTTGAAGGGGAGGCAGAGGGAATCCACAATAAGGGTCAGCATTTGTGGATCTTGTATAGGATCAAGTCCTTGTTTTTGATTTGATTGTATTTCTGATCCTTGTTTCATAGCTTTTAAAATTACCAGTTGCTTCAAAACCTGATTCTCTCCTCCTCTTTTTCCCCCTCCACCTCTCAAATAAAAGTGTGCTGGTATTCAGCCTGTGGCCCCGATGTCTTCATATGGATTTCAGTAGGTTATAGTTTACTGCACGCTGTCTGTCTGTTTGAGGTTTTTACTTTGGAAGTGGTGGGGAAGAGGCCATGTTCTTATCTAATAGTTAGGATTAAACATTGCATTAGGCATATGCCTTTAGTAATGGCACTAAGAGAATTTACAAATGCCCAAATCTGTCCTTTCTAGAAGGACTGAATGAAATGGGATGTACTGTTTAAAAAAAAATAATACAATTTATGTCATTGTTTAAAGTAAGGGGAAGCACTCAATGCTGCACGTTTCTGTTACTGTATATGGTAAGAACAAGCTCAGTGTTGACCTCTAAAAGAAAAGCTCCTTTTAGTTTGTTAGCAGCTCAACCAGATGAGACACTTAGATAGCCTTCTGGGGATTTTTATTTTACTTTTTAACTTGAATTGTTGACTTTATGTACTGGACTGCAATGTGATCCATAGCTGGAGATGCTCTCTTTGTGGCCTGCTTCTAACTATGATAGGATGCAGTATCTTTTTTTAGTGACTTTCTTAAAACTACATATGCTAAACCCTTCAGTACTTAACATTCATTTATCGATTTGTATTTTTAGTTTTGTACTTGCTTTCCTGAAACTATCTTCCTCTTTGCCACAATTATTTGTAATTGGTTCTGTGCCCTGGGCAAGCTGCCCAATGCTTTTTGGTTCAGTTTCTCCATCTGCAAAATACTTAACTACTTTGAAAACATTGTCAACATGTATGTAGAATGCTATATAAATATTAAGCATTGTTGGATATTATTTACAGGAGTAAATACTATTTTTTTTAACGTAGTTATAGGCTTGGAATCAAGCATGTCTTTCATGTTGGGCAGAAGTCAGTTAATCTACTGCATTTATCTAGATCTACTAAAATTTGGAAGCTTAATGTTTATATAGAAGATTTTGCTAGTGATTAATTCAACTGTTGTTGGTTTTAGCCACTTGTTTAAAAAGCTAGATTCCATAATTGGCATCTGATATCTAATTCTTCTGGTTTAGGCTAGACAGTATATGCAGATGCTTCCAAAAGAGAAACAGCCTGTGGCTGGCTCAGAAGGTGCTCAGTACAGGAAGAAACAGTTGGCTAAGCAGCTGCCTGCTCATGATCAGGATCCTTCGAAATGCCATGAGTTATCTCCTAATGAGGTGAAGCAGATGGAACAGTTTGTGAAGAAATACAAGAATGAGGCACTTGGTGTGGGAGATGTCAAGTTCCCTAGTGAGGTGGAAGCTAAAGCTACTGACAAGAATAATGCTAATGGTGACAGAAGCACCTCAGCACCTGTAGGAGCAATGGAGGACAAGTCATCAGGTCAAAAAGGATCCCAGTATGTAAGTATAAAGATAGCAGCAGGCAATATCAAAGGCTACAAGTAGACAGCTGTCAGATACCATGCAAACTACAATTTTAACCTACTGAGCTTGTACATTGAATGTATTTGAAATATCCTTTAATTGAAATACATGACTCTTGGCAGTATTAAAAAAAAAAAAAGTATACAGCAAATACCTCTAAGCTTCCTAACTATGTAGACTATCCTACCTTATTCTCATAAGTAATATAACAGTGTGGTTCTTAATGAAGTGATCATGGATGAGAATAGTGTTCTTTCTTTATGCTATAAACTAATCCCCTAAGGGGAAGGAATGCTCTTAGTAGTCTGTTCGTGCGTGCTCTCTCTCTCTTGCTGGGAAGGGAAGATTTTCTGAGGTAACTTAACTTGCTGATTTTTACCTAAAACTAAAGAAGAGCAAAAGATTATATATTCCTAATAAAGTAAGTTTCCTCACCAGACGGTGAAATTCATTGATATTTTGACTAGTCAAATTTTCATGTTGAGAACTACACTTTCTTTCTCTAGTATGGTCTTCAGTTCTATGCAGTGTTGAAGAAAAGCCATTAATTCCCAGAATTGGGGAGTAAATTTTTATTGTCTCAAGAAGGATCTGAATAAGATCTTAGTTGACAGTTCCACAAAAATGAAGCAAATAAGTACTACCTCTTGTGTTCCTTTATATTCTTATACAAGTATGTTTTAACCATACTTGCTTTGTTAGGATTAGAGATTACAAACTCTAGCTGTGTATATTTCGGATACCTGTGTATAAGCAATGCAGTTTAACTGGGGGTTAGACTGAACCACAGGTGACTTGTTACCAGAATTTAGGACTTCTTACTGATTGCCCCTCCTAGCCTTGCTATTGGGGTTCAAAGAGCAGATAGTGAAATTACTGGAATTCCTATTATTCACATGAGCTATTTACAAGGAACTGCTACAACTGAATGAGTGTTGTTAGTAACTTTGGAATATCTCAGGAAAAAAAACATGGAATAATGCATGGATTGTATGGGGCTGTGTGGGGGAGGAATCTAACTTTAGAGTTCATTCTTTGTAAGTGTATCATAGAAGTTATTCCTAACATAGGGCTAGATTCTGTAGCATTTTGTCTAGTATATTCAAAGCTTTTAAACTAAGTGTGGACTGATGCAGTTAAGGAACTCTATCTGACCACCTCTGCAATTCTTATTCAACTGCTGCAGCAAACTAGATATTGGAAACTACTTTTTGAAATAAATAACAAGACTCCCATTGCAATAAGGGCTGCTACTACCACATGTTAAAATAACATGCCCATGTGTAGCAAAACCCCTATTAACAGGCCATGGTGAAATTAAGCTATAATACAACAAGATGTGTCATGCAGTCAGAACCACCTTCTTGTGATACTGCAGCATCAATATCTTTCCTGTTACAAAATAAACTAATATTTTCTTAGAAGCACCCCCTTGTGTAAAGTGTGATGATAAACTGCTCTGGATTACACTGGATCAAGGGAAACGTAGCTCACAACCCCCTGTGGAGGAGCATTTACAGAAAATTCCCTGTTGCCAGTTCTCTCCCATTTAAATCTCCTAGGAGTGTGTAACCTAAAGCACCTCAGTGTAGCATGATTTGCCCAGGTAAGAAGGGGGCAAATAGGGACATTGTGACCCATATACATTTGTGTGTTTCCAAACTGAATTGAAAAGGGGGTGGTTGGGACTCTCCCAATGCAGGTAAAAAATTGGTTTTATCAAGGTATCAGGGCACACTCAAATACATATTCATTAAAATGAACTTTTTGTTTTGCTATAAATAAGAAGCCTTGTAGAGCAGGGAGATTGGATAGTCAGGGTTCAGTGAGTCAAACTTTATCTATCTGGTGGAGGGAAAAAAATCTTGTGTGAATAATACCCCTCTTTTTCCCACAAGGCTAGTGGGTTGCAGGGGAGATGGAGTACATGGAGGTCCTACTCTGGCTCACACTGAAACTAACTGGAGCCAGTGGGAAGTTTTCCTATGGGAACAGAAGCAGGCCTGAAGTAAAGATATGAGCCAAAAGAATATTTATTACTTCTAGTACTTACCCCTTCAGCAGTTTCACTGCCCCATTTTTTATTTATTTATTTAGGTTATTTGGACTCTCCCTTTTATGTACACTTCCTGGAAATATTTTATTTGAAAGGAGCGAAAAGCAGAATAGAATATTTTATTGACTTCAGTTGTGGGGGGAGGGGGGAAATGAAAGGAGCCAATCAGAATAGAGGGATCACAGTAGCTAGTCAGTGGAGAGTTTCATATTCACAGTATAGCTATTGGAGAGAGGAAAAGAGGCACACAATGAAATAAAACCAATCAGTGCAGGAAGTGCGTAAGTGATAAATAAACTGTATAGCATACACCATCTCTACACTCCAACTGGCGGACAAAACCACTTCAGTATAGAATATAAATATTAGTAAAACAATATGCCTAGACTTCTTGGAGCCTATTTGTAGTATGATTGTGTTTATACTTTTCTTTTCCTTCCCCCTGCCCAAAGATAGATAATTGGACAACAGCCATGAGTGGCTCAGAAGCAGAGGAGTGTAGGCTTAACACACAGATTTTTGAAATAGGAACAGTATGTGCCTTCTGTTTAGCAGATACAGCCACTATTTTATAATCTTTTCAATACTAAAAAGTATATGACCTTATTCTTATTTCATGTGATCCAATTTTACTCCAGCAACTGTTGGTTTCACTAGTTATTCCTCATTCTCATGAAGAGTTGGTCCACAGAATACTAGATTAGCTAATAGGATAATGGTCACTCATCTCTTGGGTGCTGTTCTTGACTCTGCACAGATTCATAGATTTCAAGGCCAGAAGGAACCACTGTGCTCATTTAGTCTAACCTCCTATATGATACAGCCCATAGAACTCCTGTAGTAACATGTACTAATTTACTTTCATACTGTTCCATGAACCATGTGAAATTTTCTGGTGGTCTCAGTTCAGTTCCAGTGGATAAATATACACATTGCAAAAACCACCATCCAATTAATCAGTATTGGTGCTATGCTGGCATAGCACTGATCTTCTTGTATTATTGCTTAATTAAACCTATTATTTGATCTGGGATAAAACTTACTAACGTTGACCTTGGGAGTAACTCCACCTCCTTAATTTTAAGCTAGGAAGTTAGGATTTATTGAAATACAAATTGTGGAGTTTTTTTTATAGATATTTTATATATCCTCATTTTATATCTAACTTGACTTAATTTGGATGGCTTCATTATAGTCCTGCTACCGCTGCAAATTAAACATGAAAGAAGGTGATCCAGCTGTTTATGCTGAGCGTGCTGGATATGACAAACTATGGCACCCCGCTTGCTTTGTCTGCTGCACCTGTAATGAACTTCTGGTGGACATGATCTACTTCTGGAAGAATGGAAACCTATATTGTGGAAGACACTACTGTGACAGTGAGAAACCCCGATGTGCTGGATGTGATGAGGTAGGCAAAGCCCCCAGCCCCCCCCCCCCGTACATATTTAGAATATAGGTGTTTTACTGCGAACCAGTCTTTCCTTCTGAAAGTAACTGAATATTAACAAAACAGTCCTATACAAAGGGATGAGTGATACATTTTAATCATCAATTAAATGAGAGCTGACTTATGTGGAATATAATGCAGTTAGCTAGGTCTTGTTTGTCTTTCTTGCTGAGGACGCTAGGTGGAGTGCCTTGCTAAATTACACAAATATCTTAATGCAAAATGCAGAGAGCAGACATATTAATGCCATTGGAATCTACTGCATTAACAGAGTCAGAGGGTATCTGAAACAAAGCCAAGCAAATGTAACTTTAAATGTGCATGGAATGTACATTTAAATGTGCATGAACAATCTGGATTCAGAAACAGTGTAATCAAATGTCCAATTTTTGGAAACCTGGCAACATGCCTTGTTAGTGGTATAAAGTTTCCTAGACAGAAATACTGTTCAAATCATACATTTGTGTTGTTTTTTCCCCCATAGCTGATATTCAGCAATGAATATACCCAGGCAGAGGGTCAAAACTGGCACCTGAAACACTTTTGCTGCTTTGATTGTGACTGCGTCTTGGCTGGGGAAATCTATGTCATGGTAAATGACAAGCCTGTCTGCAAACCATGCTACGTGAAGAACCATGCTGTGGTAAGATACTTGAAGTTATCTTGATTTGTAGAAATGAGAGTGACAACTTTTGATGGTGCAGTATACAATCACATTCTCATCCATATTATCTAAGGTATGAATTGTTTCAGTTTGGGTCAAAGTCCATCAGTTGTCTTCTACTTTCACTTGATACCGAAATAATTTTCTAATTCGTGTATATATAGAAGCAGTTTAAAAGAATGCAATCTGTTAACCAACTAGGCAACTTACAGAGCATTTCGTATGTAAACTTGGACTAAGACTACCTAGAAACTGAAAGATCTGAAAATGGGTTAATGATGATTTTGTGCGTGAGGTAATATCTTTTACTGGACCAGCTTCTTTTGGTGAGAGACAAAAGCTTTCAGGCTTACAAAGAGCTCTTCTTCAGGTCTGGGAAATGTAGCTTTGACACTGAGTACATTTCCCAGATCTGAAGAAGAGCCCTTTGTAAGCTCAGAAGCTTGTCTCTCTCGCCAACAGAAGTTGGTCCAGTAAAACATATTATCTCCCCCACCTTGTCTCTCTAATATCCTAGGACCAACACAGCTACAACAACACTGTATACAATAATAACGACTTGTGTAACTTACCAGGCTAGCAGGATGGTTTTAAGATATAGGAGACATTAAGTCATTTTGCTAACATAAACCACGGCTACCGCCATTTTCACACTGTCAGTTTCATCACCACACCATCAGTGGTTTTTATATCTCAGATGTCACCACTACCTTTCAAGTATTACTAATTACTCACAAAGTAATAGTGCAGATTATCATAAAGTAGGAAGTGAGTGTGGTCTGGTGGGAAGAACAAGAGAGTTGGGATTTTGACTCCCACTTTCTAATTCTGTCAGTATCTGTAATGTTGCATGTTAGTTAACCTCTGTGTACCCATCTATTAAATGACTAGAACATCTGTTGTAGGTATGTTGATGATTGATGAAATCCACACAGGAAAAGCTATAAGCATTAATAATGCTTTTCATTCATGTTTTCTTCTTGGCTTTTTTTTCCAGGGGTGAAAGTAAGATAAATTACTTACTGGTATGGGGGCCCGGCCTTGGGCGGGACTGGGGGGGGGTCAGCCTCCCCCAGCCAGCCCTTCCATGCTGCCTGGCCTACGCCGCCTGGGGCTCCAGTGGCAATTTTAAAGGGCCCAGGGCTCTGGCTGCCGCCACGGTAGCAGTAGCCCTTTTAAATTACCAGGCCCTGGGGCAGATGCTCCTTTTGCCCCCCAACCCCTTTGGCGGCCCTGGGGGCGGGGGCAGTGACATAGCGCTTAAACATCGGCTGTGTACGGGCCGGTACCGGTGGACACTTCTTACCGGCCCGTATCGGCCTACTTTTGTCTCTGCTATAGACCTAGTCCTGCAATCACTGAAGTGAATGACAGTTTCTATTGAGGGCAAGAACAGCTCCTAAATTTATGTATGGGCAAAAAAAGTTACAAGATTTCTCTATATAGTACCAAGAATTTAAAATGTCTTTTCTACATCATTTCTGAATTGCCTTGGAGCTTAAGGATTTACTTTCAGCTCCTTGAATACAGTGTCTAGGCATAATACGATCACGCGTGTGTGTGTGGTACTACAGCAGAACCTCAGAGTTACAAACACCTTGGGAATGGAGGTTGTTCATAACTGAAATGTTTGTAACTCTGAACATTCAAAAGTTTACAACTGAACATTGGCTCAATACAGCTTTGAAACTTTACTATGCTGAAGAAAAATGCTGCTTTTAACCATCTTAATTTAAATGAAACAAGCACAGTTTCCTTACCTTGTCAAATCTTTTTTTTAAATTTTCCCTTAATTTTGTTAGCAGATTACATTTAACACAGTACTGCACTGTATTCCCCCCCTTCCCCACCCTTTTGTGTCTGTGTCTGAGTGTCTGTCTGCTGCTGCCTGATTGTGTACTTCCGGTTCCAAATGAGATGTGTGGTTGACTGACAGGTGAGCTCATAACTGAGGTTCTACTGTACGTAAAAGTAAGAACACAATGGCAGTTACAGCTCTGGGAAACGATTTTTATGGATGTGACGTGTGTGCTGCTTCAGAAGTTTATATAATATAATCCCAGTACTTCTCAGTTCAGATTTTTTAATTTGTGGAGTTTCTCCTGCTATCTGAGATGCTTCCTTCGAAACACACTGTTGGAAAGAGCATGTCCTCCTTCTTCTCAGTCTGACCATTGTCCTTGTAGCTTAAATGAACTGACCTGAAACCTGTCTTTCCATTTTCATAACATTGTTTTAATTGAATGTTGCATAACTCCAAAAGGCCTGTACTTCAGGCTTGGTTACTTAACGGTTAAGTCTGAGGAGAATGCATAGTTTAGTAGCTAAAGCACAGCCATTATGGTGTGGTGGTGTGAGGCTCAGTTCATGAATGGCTGACTGTAAATCACTTTAAGATTCTTGGAAACAATATATCGTAGAAATAAACTACAAAACACTTCGACTGATAAGAGTCCGGCTTCCTCTGGTGGTGCATCCATAGCTGTTGCATCACTTGGGAAAGGAAATATAAAATCAGAGTGCTGTTCTTCCTTTGGAACAGTGCCAACAACATTCAGCATTTTGGTCCTTGAATAGTCTTAACTAACTTTGCAACAACAACAATGCCTGCAGGCCAGGTCTGGGCACAATATAACTGTGAACTGAAGCAAGCTCTTCAAAGAAGACTTTTGAGCTTGAATCTCCTTGGTCAGACTGTCACCTCAACTGCAACTGTACAACTCCCTGTATACAGGCCCCTAAAGGGTGTATCTACACTACATTTTTAAAACCCACAACAGCTTCTGCTACATGCTAAAAACAGTTGTGTAGACACTCTGGCCCTGAAGCCGAGGGAGGAAGGTGGGTATCAGAGTCTGAGCTCCAGCCTGAGCCTGAAGATCTAAACAGTTGTCATTAGTGCCATAGCACAAGCCCAAGTCTGTAAACCCGAGCTCTGAGAGTCACTGCTGCGGGTTTTAAAAAGCAGTATAGACATACCCTAAGATCTTCATGAATCTGCAGATTCAATCCACGCCTCAGATTTCATCCACCTGAAAGTGGTTTAAAACAGATTAGAGGGTGGATAATGTTGGAGTAGTTTTGTGAGGTTAAAAAAACCTAGCACTAGAGGGCCTAATCAAAAAAGTAGGGGTGGGGGCATGAGCTTGTGTATGTTAGTTACTCAAGAGTTTTGCTACCATTTTTTTTAACTTCAACATTTAAATTATCTATCCAGAAACTTTTGCCTTTTCCTGCTAGTTTGTGCACGTTTATTTGTCAAATGTTGACCTGACTCTCTCCTCTTCTTTTGGGCTGGCCAAATTAGCAAAGTTTTTATTTCAGCCTGCTTCTGTCTTATATTTTGCAGTGTTACATAGATCCAGATATTTAGAATTAGCATCATAGGGAATCTTATTCTGTGGACTGTTGTATGTCCAATAACAATAGGTAAGACAAACATTCCACTTGGGGATTCCATATGGTGAGAGAGTGAGTATGTGTGTAATAGAATTTTAAAAACAAATCTTCATTGTGCGTACTGGAGTGAAAATGCTCATTTAAGAATGCAACTAAAATATTTTGAGAGAATATTTTTAATGGGCATTTTAAATCCAGTGTATACAATGAAAATAAATTATCCCTTTAAATTCTGAAAACCTGTTAGTCATGGTGTGGCTTTAAGACTGTAACTGACCATCCAAACCTGGACCTTATCTTTTGGAAATGTTACCGTAATACCATTCACCATAATACGTGGTTATAATGGGAGTCTTACCAGAGTAAGGATTTCAGGACTGGTTTGTGATACAGGCCAAAGAGTTATAGTGTATTACGGTGAAAAGCAAATTAATCTACTCCAAAGTAGTCTTTGCAGTTCCTATTACTTTAAAGGCTGCACAATGCTACCAGAGGGATGAGAGGAGGTGTGGAATTGCACAAGAAACTTAGGGCCATAATCCCAGTAGGGAAGAGGGGTGTGGTAGTAAGACAAATATTAGGTTGCTCACAAGTGTGACAGTTGAGGGCAACTGCAATCATATTCCTCCTCTGTGGTCCATCAAGGGCATCTGCTCTCAGGTTTCCAGCTCCCCAGCCGTCACCTCTCTTGGGCCGAGACACATGTCTCTCTCCCTACTGACCTGGGTATTTCCAGGCTGCTGGGTCCTGCCTTCATTGTATGAGTTCCCCAGCAGGTCAGATTGCCTAGGCAGCCCTGCTTTGCCTTCTCCTCGGAGGCTATAAACAGCATAATTGCCCCCAGTTAAGTTACTGCACAGCCCTTTCTAAGCAAGCACATTTATTCTTAAGGTGAAAGAACCTACACATACTAATAAGCTTACCAAAGCTCACTCCAATTCCAACAAGGGGTCTGGCAGATGAAACATCCTTAAACCCCATACAGGGGGTGTTCTGTGGTCACAAGTTCATAACACCTTTTTGCTCTGACCAAGAATGTTCATGAATCTAAAAATCCTTTATACAGTTTGGGATTCTGATTTGTTCTCGTGTAACAGGTGATCAGCTGACAAAGGCCCCCTCCTCAGGGCAGGGTTTCCAAAGGCTGAGTTCTTGTATAACTGGAGAGGGTACATTGTTTCAGACAGTTCTCTGAAGCTCCTAACACTTTCCAGAGTTTACATTAGTCAGGTCTCCCTCCACAGACCTTACCTAAAATTCCACAATAATACAAACACATTTGCATTTGTAATACAATGAACTCCTAAGATACTTAAACTTAATTCAGTAAGGTTTGTCCAGAATACTTCAGGAGATTGCCATATCTGTCACAACAGAAGCTACTGACCATACTGAATTGTGTTACAGAAATCAGTGGATGAACAATGCAAGTAATTGCGGAGGTCAGTGATGGTGTGAGGTAACTTCCCCTACGGTGGCTATGCAATTCATCAGGTCTGTCAATGCTGTGTTGTCAGTGGCAAGCTGTTCCAAAAAATGACACTGACCCTGGACATGGCATTTAATATGGTGCTGTATAAAACATGTAGCACAATGAGGACTTGTCCTGGTTGGCGCCTCAAGTCACCATCGCTATATAAATGTTTTAAGGTTAGGCTCTATTGCAATGGGTTCTTTGATTCATTGTTTTGTTTCAATTTTTAAACACTAGTGCCTGCTCATTTGCTTATTTTTTTAATATGTACGCTGACTACTTGAAACCATCTGATAGCTGAATTAGGCTTTAAAGCTTCCTTTTGGCCCAGAAGAGTTCTTACAGTATTTATTCCCTTTTGTGCATCGGTCATTCACAGCTAGTAATTCCTATTGCCTTCCATGAGTTCTACCCTTTCCACAAATTGGAGAGAGAATGTGTTTTATAATTTGATTGCTGTTTTCACTCATCAGGTCTGCCAAGGCTGCCATAATGCTATTGATCCAGAAGTTCAGCGTGTAACCTACAACAACTTCAACTGGCATGCCACAACAGAGTGCTTCCTGTGTTCCTGTTGTAGCAAGAGTCTAATTGGCCAGAAATTCATGCCAATAGAAGGAATGGTCTTCTGCTCAGTAGAATGTAAGAAAAAAATGATGTCTTAAGAGTGGTATGTGTACATGAAATGAAGTATCACCATGTTTCAAAGTCATTGCATTTCTACTGTAAAATGTAATATCTGGGCATTTAAAAATTGGCCTATTCCCAAAGACTCTGAATGAATAACCAAGAAACTTGCTCTGTAACTTGCTTTCTTTAACTATAAGTAATACTTTGTGAAAGTTTCATATTTCTCTATTCTTTATGGTATTGCTTTTGAGCACTTAATGCTAACTTTTTCATATCCCAGATATGTAGAAAAATGTGATGTGAGCTACATACCTTAACAGCTGTCTTCACCAAGAAGACTTTCCTCCTCTCGTACAATGTAGGATAGAAAACAAGCTTAGAACTAACAGATCATATTTCCTGGGTGTGGCTGTCTTTGTGAATGATACATACAGGTTTCTCGCTTCAGTTAGGGCAGTAAATTAACAGTTTTAAAAGCATTCCTGCTTTCATCAAGCACTTGGCTAAAGCCACACATTTTGTCTAAAACAAAAATGCACCCAGATTTATAGAACTCAATAAAAGTGGAATGCAATGTGTCACTTAATCTTCTTAATTTACTTTCCCTGAAAACAACTTAACTTTTTAGTAGGTGTACATGAAAATTAAACAAAACTGTTGTCAAGCTGGAATATATGAGTGAGGCTTCATTCTGCTAGTTCAAAAAGATTAGGCCAGTCTGATTATTGGAGGAGGAGAAAGGATATGCCCAAAAAGAATTTTAAACTGGCTTTTCCGGTATTTATGAATGCCCTCTTCCAAACTTGTGCAGTTTATCAAGGGGCATGGCACAGAATGACACCTCTATTTCATTCTGAGAATCTGGCATTTTACAAAAGGTGAAGGACTTTACATTTTAAGTGATCTGAATTTTTATCCAGAAGTTAATGGGATATGTTGTAAATTCTGAGCAGAAGCAGAAACAAAATGGATAGTTCTCACAAGACCCTTTCAGTATTTATATTTGAACAAAAACTTTACAGTTGTATACTAACTTGTCTTACTCTGGAACTCAAAATGGATTTAAATATTGTGATTATTTTGGGGAGAGATCTGATTCTGGGGGGAGGGGGACTGAAATTTAAATTCGTTTATTTTCTGAGAATAACAATTGTATGCTGAAATGTCTTAATCTGTGTAATACAGGTGCCAAACATGAATGAGAGAGATGTTGGCTTTGTAAAGAACTATGCAAATTTCAAATTCAGCTCTTTAAGAATTACACGTCTATGTATGTACCTTAATGCTCACAAATAAAAAAGCTTTGCTGAACTTAAGTTGCATAATTTTTATTCCACTCTTTTAATTTATGTAAATATGCCTTTACTGCAGTAGGGGGAGTTAACTTCAAGGACAAAAAATAGTCTTTGGGTAACTATTTTAAGCTTCACGCTGTTCTGAAGACAATACTTGTTGGTGTTGTCTTTGTATGCACTTTAGAATACAGAAGGGAAAGGTCTGTTCAAACTCTGTAGTGATCATGATCTTGATATGAATTTATACAATTTTGTTCAAATACCACTAGTTCCAATTTTGTATCAAAGGTCTTGTGTTTAAGGCACAGGAGTGGGAGCCCTGTGGGATAGGACTTCTCTCAGCTTGTCTGCTGAATGAGAATGATATGCTAGAACAGCACAAAAGCATTGAGGCCTTTGTAAAGTGCTTTGAGAGCCTATGAGTGTGCTGCAAAATAATACCATTGAAATTACATGAACAATAACCAATTTAGTATTACAAGTCTAGCAGGACACAAACATATGTTCCCTGGACCCTTTATGGAAAATTGTACCACCTTCTTGGGCTTGGGACATCCTAATGGCCAGGAGGACATACCTAAAGTGCATGTCCCTGAACCTGTACCACCATGGACTGTGATCTTGTAAGCTAACCAGGTTCAGGCTGTCAGTAGCTAGATGGGAGACATCCAAGGAAAACAAATGTGCTATAGGAAGTGCTGAAGGTGATTCCATGAATAACTCTTTGAATTAGTACTTAACCAAAGAGCTGTCATGCTGCTGGAGGTGCCATCTGTTGAATGAGAATAAAACAAGGTCCCAATCGCTTCTAATGATGTAACTGCTGCTTTTTTTGCAAGTGGTGGGTGAATCTGCTTTGATGTCTGACCAAATTCCATTCTAGTAATAGCATGTGACCTCCCTAAACGATCCTTTAATTGGCCAAGATGTTCACTTTCTGTCCTTCAGCTGTCATGTGATTTTGCTGTTCCCAGGTTAATGGCAACATTCAGACGTCCCAGAGGGGCTGGGTGTAGTGATTAAGTGATACGGTTTCAGACCTTGAGGCTTATAGATGGCACTGTGTGTGGGTTTTAGGCAAAACTGCCAAACTGAGGCAATGCACATTCATCTTTATGAGTGACTAACAGTTGTTAATGAAATTGGTCAAGCTGAAGCCAGTGTTTTTGTAGTAACGAGCTCACTGCTTTCTCAAGCATGCCAGCCTGGCTCTCTTCTCCAGCTAGCCTAAAGACATGCTGCTCTCTGACTAATCTACTTTCTCTCTCTGCTTCATGCTCCTGGGATGCCCATGCCCGCCTGGGTCCCAGGTGCTTCCAAAGCAAAAGTTGATCTACCTACCTGTTAACAATTTGGGTGTGTCTGCGCAGCCAAGAAAAATCCACAGCTGGCCTGTGCCAGCTGACTCGGGCTCAGGCTGCAGGGCTGTTTTCTTTGCTGTGTAGACTTCCGGGCTCGGCCTAGAGCCCAGGCTTTAGAACCCTGCAGGGTGGGAGGGTCCCAGAGCTCGGGCTCCAGCTTGAGCTCAGAAGTCTACACTGCAATGAAAAGAGCCCCATAGCATGAACCCCACAAGCTATGCTGTGTAGGCATACCTTTTTGTTGTATTCAGGGCTGACTTAAGCTAAGCTGAGGCTCCACTCCTGCATTGGGACCCTTCCCCTTCACTATAGCTATGCACCCATGCACTGTGACCCAACCCCTGCCCCATCCCCAGGGACAAAGACCCTAGCCTAGTTGTTTGTCCCTTCATTGCCTCTCAGCTGGACTACAGCAATTTGATATACCTGGGCATGAAACTTCCAGCACTTAGGAAACTCCAACTAGTAGAAAATATTGCAGTTTATCCCCTCAGCAACACAGGCTACCATGAGCACATCCCACCCCTCCCACCACACTTTGCATTGACTTCCGATAGACTTTTGAAATCCAGTTCAAGGTCTTGGTCTTTATCTTCAAGGCACTCCATGGCCTGGGTCTAGGATACCAAAACCAGTCAAGCTCTGGGATGAAGACCACCACGGTCAACAACTTCACTCCTCAGCCACAATGAAACTCTCAACCATAAGAGTCAAGTTTGTCTGTACAGGAGCTAGAACCTTCTCAGGAATGGTCTGAGCCCGGAATGAACTCACCCCGAGCCTAAGGGCCATCACAAACCTTGCCACTTTCTGCTCCAAATGCAAGGCACAGTTCTTTAACCTTACCTTCTCCGTTATACCTGGTGCTATGTGTTTATATCTATCTAATACATTTAAAAAATAAACATAAACCCCTGACGACAAAACACTTCACTGCGCATGCTTCTCCCTGGGGGGGGGGGGGGGGGAAGGATGAGAGAACAAACATGTGACAGATGTGTGGTCACAGTGCTTAATGCAGTTATGAAGGCGCTCAGAGACTACAGCGATGTGTGGTGCAAAAACCTATATAAAAATACAAGGCCGGAACAGGAGTCACCTGCAGAGAGCCATCTGCTGGGTTGGTGGAGACAGGGTGGCCTCTCCCTTTCTCGAACCAGCATGTTCAGGCAACCTGGGATCTGTCCTGGAAGACAGAAGATTTGGGCTCAGTCCAGCTCCCTGTATGTGATTGTCCCTGCAGACACTACCCCAGCTGAGTCATGCTGGTGTGGCACCAATGAGGGCTCCATGCAGAGTTCTCCACTGTGATGATAGTGGTGGGGCCCTGAGAGCAGTGGGTTTGATAGCAACCCAATAAAATACATCCAAGGCTAGGTTAAGCCACATACTATCAAATAACTATTTTAAATAATGAAGCCATCTGGTTTACTAGTTAACAATGCCACATCACTCTGGCCTTGATTTTGCCATCCTCACCCCACAGTCATAAGTAATTACATGAGCAGCCCCATGGGTGGGGGAGTTAAGTGTGTACCACTTGGTGGCTTCCTGCGCAAGAGCACACCTTACAGGGAACTTAGTTCTAGATCCTAGTATTTGTATCTTAAATCCCTTATTTAAAAACAAAATGAAAATCCTAGCCTGTTCCAACTCAATCTTCCAGAACACTACAGCAGCATTACTGCAAACTGAAGCCTTTGGATCCTTATGGTGGAGTACTTTTTTTAAGAGCTAAGGAATGAGGTGGCAGCATGGTTTTAGTAGATTAAGCCAGTGGTTCTCAACCAGGGGCCCACATATCCTTGGGGCCATGCAGAGGTCTTCCAGGGGGTACATCAACTCATCTAGATATTTGCCTAGTTTTATAACTGGCTACAAAAAAAGCACTAGCAAAGTCAGTACAAACTAAAATTTTATACAGACAAAATTAGAAAGCAAGCAGTTTTTCAGTAATAGTGTGCTGTTACACACTTGTATTTTTATGTCCGATTTTGTAAGCAAGTAGTTTTTAAGTGAGATGAAAGTTGGGGTATGCAAGACAGATCAGACTCCTGAAAGGGGTACAGTAATCTGGAAAGGTTGAGAACCACTAGACTAAGCAGTGTGACTGGAAACCAGAACTCCTAAACTCTAATCCCACATCCCCCTTCACTTCCTGTGCTAAACCCCTTAAACTCCCTGTTCCTCAGTTTAGCCCTGTGTAAAATGGGCATGATAAATACATTACCTCATTGTAATGATTTGAGGCTTGATTCACTAAAACCTGTAAAGCTTTTTAGAAATATACAACATTGTAGAAGTACAAAGGATTATTACTATTATTAAATAGGGCCTCAGTCCTCTTTTATATGTTATTACCTTCATTTTGGCATTCCCGTACAGAACCGCAAAACAGAATCTGAGGTTTATGTTTATAAAGCCTTGTAATCATTCCGTGGAGTTAAAGAAGTTTGGCAGTGATCTGGAAACTTAAGAGGTAATGAAAGGTTACCAGCAGGAATGCAGAGCTGCCTTGTATGGTGGTAGAGCATAGAACCAGTACATTCTTCAATAGTACAGTACAACTCTTGTCTTTGGGGTGGGCCTTGATTGTGTAGCTCAGACTGCATTTGAAATGCTCTGTGGTGTAAACATTCTAACAACACAGAGGTTCTCTTAAACATCTGTAAATAGGCCAGCAATTTTGAGGAACCGGGTGGAGTCTGGGGAAGGAGAAAGAAGGAAAGCTTATTTTGTTCTGATAGTTGTAGAATTCACTGCCCTAAGCTCAGTTCTGCTCTTAATGTAAGCTCTTTAAACGTGCCTTCAGGCACAATTATAAAATGTGCACTTGAACAAACTTGGAATGCACACTGTGTTCCAGAGTGGTACAGGGTCACGCCACATGCAAACCTTTCCAAAACTGGTATCCTAAACAGCTGGTGATTTATTACCACTCAGCAAGGAGGGTTTCTATAGTAATCGCATTGTGAGTGTGTTGGTGGAATTACTTTTTTAACTGGATTCTGCTTATAGTGGAGGGGGGAGGAAAAAATTCTTGTAGAGCAGTGTTTCCCAAACAGAGGGTCCTGACCAGACTCTAGATAGGTCGATGGCCCAGTGTAGAGGGGAGGTCCCAGAGGGAGGGGTGGGGGTTGGAGAGCAAGCACACCCTACACTCAACCCACAGTGGTGGCTCCAGTCCTGCAGGGCTAGGCCTGGCTTCCTGGTCCAGGAGTTGTGACCTGTGCATGGGGTGATGGAGGGTCAGCCAGGCCAAACCGGAGTGGAACTGTGACCCTGTGTGCTAGGTTGTAATGCCCCTTGCTCACATTTAGGCTGGCCTCCCCTTTGTCATGTCTAGGCGGCAACTCCTGGAGCAGGGAGGTAGGCCCATCCCCCAAAAAACAAAAATGCCGCTGATGAACCACTGCAAAAGTCTGGGAACCATTGCTGTAGCATATAGCCTAATAATGCTTTTACTAAAAGCTTGTCTACACTTACCCGGGGGATTGACGAGTGGCAATCGATGCATCAGTGATCGATTTAGCGGGTCTAGTGCAGACCCGCTAAATCGACCGCATATCGCTCTTCTGTCGACCCCTATACTCCAACAGATCGAGAAGAGTAGGGGGAGTCGACAGGAGAGCGTCTCCCGTCGACATCACGTAGT